ACTATTAAACTATAGCAAAGAAACTAATTATATATTTTAAAAATATAAATAAAAGCAAGAAAACCTGTCTTGACGAAAGTTCTTTTGCAAAGATCTATGCCAACAAATATTTGTCGAATTAGACATCTCCTAACGTACCTGTGCCGACAAAATGTCATCTTGAGGGGTGTTTGTTTATATTGGCTTTACCCTTCAGATGTGAGGGCTCATTTATTTAAGATCAAAAACGTAAATTTCACACCTAACACAGTGTGAATGGTTTGCCCATGGGCGAACTCCTTTCCTGTGATCATTCTATGAAACCGATTACACCAAAGCAATTTGTATCCCGTAAAAATCATAAACAAAACCTCTTAGACAAAGCACATGCAACCATCCTTTCACTACATGTTGCATCCACATATCGAAATAAACATGTAATAAATGGTAATTTAGTTATTATGGACTATAACATACATTTCACACCAAATTTAGCCTAACTTTCTCTATTTTTGGTTAAAAGAGAATAAATTTAAAGGTGAGTGGTTTAGTGCGATTCGTTTCTTTGCTAATTGTACACTAACATCATACTTGGAGGGTATACCTAACAAGGTTATACCGAGAAATCAATTTGAGTTGGTTTTTATTTCGGCAATTTTGTAATTTGCGAGAATATCAAGCCGTTCTTAGGAGCCGTTAAGGAAATCTACATGTGCAAGAGAGGCAGAATTGCATAAGTAATTTGTGTATTAGAGTTTGTAGGTAACGCTAGGGTTTGATAGATTTAATCACATATATGGGATCTCTCATGTTAGGATTTAGAATATATAGGGAAGGTTAATGTAGCGGTGACGCTAGTCAACAGGTCTAGCTCAGTGGAAAAGGGCATTGACTTACAAATAAAAGGTTTCAGGTTCGAAACCCTATGCATAGCATCTTAGTTGTGTGTGAGAGAGAAATCTCATTCCCCTTTAGTTTAGATTATCGCTTGTACTAACAAAAAAATATAGCAGCGACATTAGGGATTGGTAGATTTTATCTCAACTTTAAGATCTACTAGGGTTTGGTTGATGCTACATATCTGAGATCTCTTATGGGAAGGTCAAGGTTATGGACAAGGAAGACCCGGGTAGCAACATTGCTAGGGTTTGGTAGATTTGACCTCAGATCTTAGATCTATTATGTGAGGGTCGAGTATTAATAGGGGAGAGCCGCGAGTGAAAGTGTCATATAATATATGCATGAGAGTGCCAAGTGGAAAGGTAAATTTTTAAATAAAAATTATATTGGTCGATTTCGACTCTTGTTGGAATTTTAAAATTTGCTCTTACTAGTTGAGTCCAATTTTTCACCAAATACAAAAAGGAAAACAGTAGTGTTAGACCTATAATTTAACTTTGATTTCAATTTAGTTTATGTAGTTAATTATTAGTTTCAATATTGTCAAGTTCAAAATAAGAACTGAGCCCCCTTGTTTTGAATAAGAAGTCTTGGTGATTTCTTCTCAAACATGCTCATATTGAAGTTCCCCATCTCACATCTTCTTGGCTAATTTCTCTATCAAAATCTTCTCTCAAAACCATCTCTCTAAAATTTCTAATTTTATCTAAATTTAGCTCTACATCGCATTTGAACGAGTTAGTTGCAATCTACCAAATTGTTTTTTGCCATGATTGTTCAATTGTCGCATTTGTTCGCTAACAATTAGATCAATAGAAGCCATGTTTTTCCCATATCTGTCACATATTTTGCATATGTTTAAAGGCTAGATGCGGTCAGTTTGACAACAACACTTCTTCAAGTGGTGGTGGTAGTGTTCATGTACATGTTGTTTTAGGACTTTTGTTATATTGGGTTTTGTGGGCTTGCTTGAGATCATGCTTAATTGTAGTGATGTGAGCTATGTAGTTGTTTGTGTGACTTTTGTCGGATTTAATTTTGCCTCTTTAGGCATGTTAGTTTTGTTCTTCTTTTGGAGTTTGGTGATTTAAATGTCATGTTGACGTTTAAACTGTATTGATGAAGTTTATCTAATAAAATTATGCTTTGATGAAAAATAAAATAAATAAATAAAAGCTAATTATATTTTTTAATACAGGTGATAATCTAAACTAGAAGGGGGTGGGGTTTCTATTATGGATACTAGGGAAGCTATTATCTCTTCTCCTATAGTTGTTACTAATGGTTCTATTAAGCATGTACAGGATCAACTTCAGGGTGAACAATCTTCTCGGTCTCCAGGTTCTATTGAGCATGTACAATATCAAATTCCAGAAGAACACTTTTCACAGTCTCCTATTAGTGTTTTAGGTGTATGTGTGTTCAGAATTTGTAGAAGAAAATGAAAGGAGGAAGAAGCAAGAAGAATTATCAAAATCTGCCTGCTATACGTGTAGTAGCAGAAAGTTTCATTCACAGACTTGTTTCTTACAACCTTACGCACATAGTGTGAGGAATATATATGTTATGCACAATAGCTAGATCTCTTACATCACAAGATGATCTCAGCCGTTTACTTAGGCAACCAATAGGAAGCTTACACTTGTCATAAAAAGAAATAAGATGGAAAAATAGTTAAACTAACTCTTAAGTCAGCTTAAGGCTTATAATTCAACACTCCCCTTTAAGTCTTGAGCTGATTTAACTCCAAGCATGCTTTTGAGGTAATTGAATCGATCCTTAGCCAAGGGTTTGGTGAAGATGTCAGCTAGTTGTTCCTTAGTAGGACAGTACACCAAGTCAATGATGCCTTCTTGAAGTGCATCTTTGATGAAATGATATCTTCGATCAATATGCTTTGTCTTCTGATGAAACACAAGGTTTTTAGTGATGGCAATTGCAGATGTATTATCACACTGCAATGGAGTTGCTTCTATCTGAAGTTCTCCAAAATCTTCTAACACAAATCTGAGCCAAATGGCTTGTGCAGTAGCCTCAGATGCACTTATATACTCTGCTTCTGCTGTGGATAGCGCCACATAATTTTGCTTGACTGAAGCCCAAGAGAAAACACCGCTGCCAAAAAAGAATGCATATCCAGAAGTGTTTTTGTTGTCATCAATTGATCCTCCCCAGTCACTGTCACAGAAACCAATCAGCATTGCATTCTTTCCTTTTACATACTCTAGACCATAGTTTAGAGTTCCCTTAACATACCTTAGCACTCGTTTAGCAGTTCCATAGTGTTTTTTTGTGGGGCAATGCATGAAACGAGCAAGCAGACTAGAAGCATACATGATATCTGGTCTAGTGGCAATTAGGTACAAGAGGCTACCTACAATGCTTCTATATTGCTCTTCACTTGCTGCTCCACTTCCATCATCCTTGACTAGCTTTTCAGTTGCTACAAGGGGTGTAGTTACCGACTTGCACTCATTTAGACCAAATTTGTTCAATAAAGAACTTGCATACTTCTTTTGGTGAATGAATATGCTTGAGTTTGTTTGAATCATTCCTATGCCAAGAAAATGATGTAGAAGGCCCAAATCTGTCATCTCATATTTCATCATCATTTCTTCCTTGAATTTATCCAACAATTCCTTGCAGCTCCCTGTATACACAATATCATCAACATAAATAGAGACAATGAGAATATCTCTATCTCCCCTTGTCTTGGTATATAAAGTAGCTTCACTTAGGCTTTTCTCAAAACCACAGTGCATGAAATAGGTGTCTATCTCTCCATACCAAGCTCTAGGTGCTTGTTTCAGTCCATAAAGGGCTTTGTGTAGCCTATAAACTTTATCTTCCTTGCCTTTGATCACATAACCCTCTGGTTGGTCTATATAGACCTCTTCTAGCAATACACCATTTAGAAAAGCTGATTTTACATCAAGCTGGTACAGCTTCCACTCCTTCTGAGCAGCCAGGGCAATGAGAGTTCTAATGGTGTCCAATCTAGCCACAGGAGCATAAGTTTCATTGTAATCCAGTCCAGGCTATGATCATAAGCACATCATCTAACCTTCTCCACTTCAATGGTGTGTGATCATAAGCTTGAGTGTTCCTTTCTTCACTGCTTATGTCACATGAGATATGTTGTGATGGTGCTTGAATAGATGTCTGAGGTGTTAGTGCAGCATTCTCAGCTTTCTCTCCTATAACAAAATCATGCTCATTTAGAATTTCATCACGAAGTGGTGTCACAGCCTTGCCATAGTTTTCTGTCTAGTTCCAAGATCCTTCTTCATCAAAGATGACATCTCTTGACACTGTGAGTTTCTTGGAGATTGGATCAAAGATTCTATAACCTTTCTCACAGGTTGCATACCAACAAACACTCCCTTCGCACTTTTAAGTTCCAGTTTGTGTCTTAGTTCATTAGGCACATGAACATAACACAGAGTCAAAAACTTTCAGATGAGCAATGCCCGGCTTTCTTCCACTATAAGCCTCAAAAGGTGTGACATTGTTCAAAGCCTTGGTAGGACATCTATTCAAGATATATACAGCTGTATGTACAGCCTCTGCCCAAAGAAAATAAGGTATTTCCTTCTCATGTAGCATAGACTTAGCCATTTCAACCACTGTCCTGTTTTTACTTTCTACCACTCCATTTTGCTGAGGAGTATAGGCCATTGTGAGCTGCCTTTGAATCCCATAATCTTCACAAAACTTTATGAACTCAGAAGATAGAAATTCTCCACCTCTGTCACTCCTCAAGCATTTCACCTTGTGTCCAGATTGCAACTCAGTCATGGATTTAAATTTCTTGAAACAATTGAAAGCTTCAGATTTGTTTCTTAAGAAATAAACCCAGACCATTCTTGTAAAGTCATCAATGAACAGCATGAAGTACTTGTTTCCTGCAATGGACTCATTTCTCATAGGTCCGCAAAGATCAACATGAATTAACTCAAGAGGAACACTTGCTCTTGTAGCTTGGCCTTTTGGGAAACTAATTCTGTGTTGTTTGCCAAGTTGACAACCCTCACACACACCACTTTGTTCTTCTAGTTGTGGCAGTCCATGCACCATGTCTTTATCTCTCAACTGTTTTAATCCTTTAAAATGCAAATGTCCTACCCTTTTGTGCCAAGTCCATGTGCTATGAGTGATACTAGCCTTCATGGCCAATTGGTTTTCAGCTAGAAAAGATGGGGGATAGCATCTGTTCTTCATCATTGGAACTTTGATGATGAGGCAATTCATTGAAAAACTATCAAACACCTTGCACATTCCACCTCCAAACACCAGAAAATATCCATGCTCATCCATCTGACCAACACTCAACAGATTCTCTTTTAATCTAGGAAGGTACATCACTTCCCTAATGTACTTCCTTCCTTTTGTTGTGTCAATGACCAATGAACCTATGCCAGCCACCTTCACAAGTGCACCAGTTGGCATTTGTACTTGTCCAGCCACATTTGTCCTTACATCAACAAGCAAATCCACATTTCCAGTCATATGGTTGCTGCAGCCACTGTCAATGTACCACTCCCCTTGTGTTTTAGTCTCAAGTGTTGCACAATTAGCATAGAACAAGTTTCCCGACACCTCCATTTTACTTGCATAGTTTGCCTTCTGCACAGCCTTCTCTGCAGTGCACTTTCTAGCCAAGTGACCAAACCTGTCACAGTTGTAACACTTTGGCTTGCCTTTATACCTGCATTCTCCAAAGTGATACTTGGAGCACACCTTGCATTGGGGTTTTACAGCTTCTTGACATGTAGATGAGCTGTTAGTCTGTGCATAATTATTCCATTGAGGCTTGCCTTTCGATTCCCAAGGTTTGCCTTTTGGATTCCAATTTTTCTAAGCCTTGGATGGACCAGAATTAGCTGCATTCTTATTCTGACCATTTGAACTCACTGTGAATGAGGCAAAAGCTTTCTCAGTTGCATCTGCATTGTGCAACTCAAATCGCTGCTCTTGACTTTTTAGAATAGTAATTACTTCTTGTAATTCCACAGTCTCTAGACTCTTAGTGTTCTCAATCACTAAATAGATGGGGTCATATACCTTGCTAAGACTAATCAAAACCTTTTGCACAAGCCTCTCATTCGAGAGCACTTCACTATATGTTTTCATTTGATTAATCAGATCATTTAGTCTAGTAAGGTAAGCAGATAAGGATTCACTATCATGCATTCTAGTATATTCAAATTCACGTCTGAGATTTTGAAGTTTTACCGATCTCACATGATCTCCACCATGAAATTCTCCGTACAACAGCTCCCAAGCAGCTTTGGCAGAGTCTGCATTTGCAATTCGTGGGAAAATCTGATCTGAGACTGCATTTTGGATAATACCCAGAGCCTTTGCATCCTTCATGAGGATTGCAGCTGCTTTCTCATCATCTTCCTCTTCTGAAATTTCCTCAGATGCCTTCTTCTTCTTCTTAGAATCGGAGATTGGAATTCCCTTCTCTACCAGATTCCAGAGCCCATATGATTTGAATATGGTCACCATCTTAATCTTCCAAAATTCATAGTTTTCACCAGAGAAAATCGGAGTTCTCACCTCTAAGCTTCCAAATCCAGCCATGGTTTATCTCAGATGCTTCCAAAAACGAGTTGTTTTCAGATTGAGAAGAAAACCCAAATGTCTCGATGATTTTTCCTTGCACAGATTGAATGCCCAGCTTCAGATAATTGAACCTAGCTCTGAGGCCATGTTAGTGTTTTAGGTGTATGTGTGTTTAGAATTTGTAGAAGAAAATGAAAGGAGGAAGAAGCAAGAAGAATTATCAAAATCTGCCTGCTATACGTGTAGCAGCAGAAAGTTTCATTCACAGACTTGTTTCTTACAACCTCACGCACATAGTGTGAGGAATATATCTGTTATGCACAATAGCTGGATCTCTTACATCACAAGATGATCTCAGCCGTTTACTTAGGCAACCAATAGGAAGCTTACACTTGTCATAAAAAGAAATAAGATGGAAAACTAATTAAACTAACTCTTAAGTCAGCTTAAGGCTTATAATTCAACATCTCCAGCATCTTCATCTATTGCATCAGCGTCATCATTAATGGATCTTGTTGTTGATCTGTCTGGGCCATCTACTAATGTTCACCCTATGCAGACTCGTTACAAGTCTAGTATACTTAAACCTCGTAAGGGTTTCTTAGTTGCCAAGACATCATGTGCTCCTTCTTCTTTGACGGAGCCTCATACTTATTCTCAGGCAGCAAAGTTTCCAGAATGGACTCAGGCCATGGTTGAAGAGTTTCAGGCTCTTGAGAAACAGAAGACTTGGACTCTAGTTCCTTATCAACCTTCTATGAATGTAGTTGGTTGTAAATGGGTATTTAAGTTAAAAAGGAATGATGATGGATCTGTTTCTTGCCACAAGGCTCGGCTTGTTACTAAGGATATCATCAGAAGGCTAGTTTAGACTATAATGAAACATTCAGCCTTGTTGTCAAGCATTCTACTGTTCGCTTGGTACTTGCTTTAGCTGCTCAATTTCATTGGACTATTAAGCAACTGGATGTTAAGAATGTTTTTCTTCATGGCATTATTCATAAATAAGTTTACATGCAACAGCCACCTGGTTTTACAGATTCCAAACAGCCACACCATGTTTGTCGCTTGTTGAAATCTTTATATGGTCTCAAACAGGCTCCTCGAGCTTGGAATGAAAGATTCACCACTCATCTTCTCACACTGGGGTTTGTTCAGTCCTTAGCAAATACATCCTTGTTTGGTCGAGCATCTGGCAGTGATCTTCTCATCCTTCTTTTATACATAGATGATATTACCTTGACTAGGAACAATATGCTTCTGATTCAGCAAACTATTACAGCTCTTGGTCGTGAGATTGATATGAAAGACCTTGGCAAATTAACTTATTTTTTGGGCCTTTAGGTGCAATATACTTCTTCTGGTAATCACGTGAATCAATCTAAATATGTTATTGATCTTCTAGCTAAAGCTGGCATGACACACTGCAAGCCTTGTCCTACTCCTTGCTTACCTACTACAAAATTACTCAAGTTTGATGATGTTCCTCTCTCAGATCCTACCCTTATCGAAGTCTGGTGGGAAGGCTTCAATATCTAACTTTTAGCAAACCTGATATTGATTTTGCAGTAAACGCTTTCTGTCAGTTTATGCGCACTCCCACTGAGCCTCATTTTGCTGCTGTGAAACGTGTTCTACGTTATCTTGCTGGTACCGTTACTCATAGGATTCATTTCACTTCTAGTGATGTTCAACTTCAAGCCTATTCTGATGCTGACTGGGCTGGTGATGTGAATGATAGGCGTTCCACGACTAGATATGTTGTTTTTCTATGCAATAACCCCATTTATTGGTGTGCCAAAAAACAAAGCACCGTGTCTCATTCTTCGACATAAGCAAAATATCGAGCTCTTGCGATTACTGCAGCTAAGATGTCCTGGTTCGACAACTTCTCTGTTATCTCCATTTGTTTCTTGATCGACCCCCTATTCTTTGGTGTGATAACATTTCAGCTTTTGCTCTTGCTAGTAAACCTGTCTTTCATGCACGCACGAAGCACATTGAAATTGACTTTCACTTTATTCGTGAACGTGTCACTCGTGGTGATATGGTGGTATCTCACATTCCAAGCAGCAATCAACTTACGGAATATCTTTACTAAGGGCTTACACATTTCTCAATTCTCTTATCTTCGTGACAACCTAATGCTGAGTTCTCCTAGCATTAGCTTGTGGGGGGATGTTAGGCTACACCTCAGACCACCTTATTAAAGCTCTTATGCCCATGTGTTGTTAGTTGTATATTGTGAGCTAGTGTGTTAGTTACAATTACTAGTTAGTTAGGAGTTTGTTAAGTTAATCAGCTAGTTAGTCTTAATTAAGCTAAACTGATCTACATGTATATATAAAAGCTGGTACTGTTACTTTGAGAAATAATGAAAAACATTCCTTCAATGTCAAATATCTCTCTCGAACTCTCTCTTTTATCTTCTGTGATTTCTAAGCTTGATTGAGCTCTTTAATGAAGTCCTAGAGGAAATCTTTCATTGTAAGAATGTGAAGATAAAGAGTCTCATATTAGAAAGTTGAGAAACCTAGCAAAGATTATAAGGAGTTGGGTTATTCCCCCTATTGCCAATTTATTTTAGGGTGGAATCTCAACTTCCTTCATGGTATCAGAGCGGGTTAGCCCACGTATGAAAGCCCAACGGCCACATGTGCTCCACGTCACCCAATATATATATATATATATATATATATATATTGTCCACGTGCTACGCTTGAAAATTAGCCACACGTGCGAGGCGTGTAAGAATGTGAAGATAAAGAGTCCCACATTGGAAAGTTGAGAAACTTAGCAATGACTTATAAGGAGTTAGGTTACTCCCCCCATTGCCAATTGATTTTGGGATGGAATCTCAACTTCCTTCATGAACCTGCAAGCCTAACTTCCTCTTTCACAAGGCCATTACTCTCACAATCTCAAGCATATATAGCATTTTGAATGGCTTAGATTCGGAGGAACTTTTATTTTATTACTCCACTAATAATTTTAAGTTGAAGTGGCACTACTACAATACTATCATTTCCTTTCTTTTCTTCATTGATCCTCAATATATCAATGGATAGATTATGTGTGAATCTCAGCACAAACACTCTTTTCCATTTTTCCCTCTCTTTTGGGGTATATGCAACTTTCCTACCTCTTGAAAGTTTTAATATACAACCATTCCGTATAAGATTGGTATATTTTCTTTTTTCTTCTTTTTTCTTTTTAAAGATCTTTCTTATTGAGAAGAGCGATAATATGTTAAACTCACACACATTACACGAGTGCTAAGACTCGAATCTAAAGCCTAACCTAAGATTGGTATTCTCATGAGAGTTGTTATTAGTACTTTAAAATAGTTATTACGCACACATAATCATTTTGGTGAAAACCTTATTAGAGTTGTAGCCAAAATAATGAGTACTGAATAGTTGTGGCAATGATGGTGAGGATGAAAACCTTAATAGAATTATAGCCAAAATAAACTGGTGCTCGGCGGGTACTCAATGCCCATATCCTTATTCACTATAGTTGATAAGAATTTTATGGACAACATATATATATATATATATATATATATGTGTGTGTTCAAACTCATCATATTATACAAAATACAAAGTTTTTTCTGGCCACAAAGCGCCAATTCACAAATCACATAATACATAGTGTTACATTTTTATAGTCCTCCTAGGCGTCTAAAACCTTAGGGCCACCTCTGGATTTTGGTGGCAGACTCATTGAATGTAAGAGTTTGACAACATATATCCGTACATTAGTTGGTGAGCTAATTAACAAATTCTATCCATTCAAATCTTTGAAATAAAGCTCAATGTGAGGTGATGCTGGCCTCTTCTGGATAAGGTCATGTCATGTGCCCTCTTTTGTAACAGCATGAGATGAGATGTGCCATTGCCAAAGATGAGAGGCTGCAAAGCAAGCTCCACTCACCACCACATTTTATTGTATTTATTGACAAAACAATTATGATATTTTTATTTTATTTTTATATAAAGTAATCTACATCAATTTGGATTAAAATCAAAACACTAGATAAAATAGAGAGGCATTAACTCTTGCTAAATATTTGGTATGTTTATTTTTAGATTTAGATAATATAATTCTACTTTTGTTGGGAAACAACACAAAAGGGACCTCATCGGCCCACATCATAAATTTGGACGGCACTATATATGAGTAGTAGCCCTACCCACAGTGCCCAACCGATCTCAAATTCAAGGCCCAGCCCATCATTGCCAAGAAAAACCTTTTCTTTTTTGGATACTGTTTGCCTCTTTCTCTTCTCTGTAAGAACACTTTCATCCATTTGCCATGGCAAAAGGCAAGGGTTGTTACTATTCATATGAATAGTGACAGCCCTTGCAAAAGGTTGTGATGTTTCCACCTATTGCCATGTTAACCACTATTTATATGAAATATGAGGAGATGAATTTTTATAGAGTTTTGGTGTGGGAAGTGAAGAATATGACTAAGTATTTATTTTTAAAAAAAATCTGAAATTTTTTGTCTTTTTTGTAGATTTTTAACAAATTTTAAAAAATTTTGGTTGCTGACGTCAATAAATCTAGGCTAGAGCACGTGCTCGTTTGGCCTGAGGGATGGCCTAGTTTTGTGGGCCCCATCAGCTCCCCTGGCAACTTTAGCCCACTGGAAGACAAATTTGGGGCTTGGGCCCCCTCCTGCCCTGGTAAGGGCAGCCCGCTGGAACTGCTCTAAGGAGGTACTGTGAATCACAGTTTAAAATATACGCAAAAATAATTCATCAAAAACACAAAAATAAAAACTTTTGTACACATGTCACATTGCTATTGGCATGATAAGGAGGGAAGTATTTTCTTCTTCTTTTTTTCCCAAAAAAAATTCCTTTGTTCGCTAGGAATTTTTTGCATTATATAATCTTTTTTCAGTCTACACAGAACCAATTGGTTGGAGTAGGTAATAAAACCTCTTTTTGGCTAAACTTTTAGGCAGTCAAAGTTTTACACTCACACCTATAAGCACTCACGCTTATT